ATGTTCTTATTGTCGACTAGTAAAATGTTTTAATAGTGGAATGCAAACTGAGTTGATTCGACCTTCGTCTTCAAAACTAAATAAAGTAAATCGAAAAAAAAAACTCAATGAAAAATTCAGAACAAAAAACATCAACAGCTCTACGTAGACTAAATGAATCTGAACAGGTGAGACTATTTGATTGTCATATACCAGTATATGATCATTGGTAAAGATGAATAAAACTCTCAAAGATTGACTCGTTACTTTGCTCGGTCGTTTATACACTTCTAGGTAATAAAAAATTATGATTATCTCTTTTCCGAGATTTCTCAAGAACTTGAGAAGGTTTTAAGACAGATAAATGTCAATGAGAAGAGCAAAAGTTATAATAGACTTAAGCTCCTAAAATGTTTCGTACTCAATATTATTGAGAGTACAGAAGTTATAAAATGACTTACCGTTTCCTTCCTCATGAAAATCTGTACTTCATTATGTTGGAGTTGAAAATTTTTTTCTGCAACAACTAGAGAATCGAATTTTAGTGCGTATTTTTTTTTAACGATGGTCATCATTCCATGCTGTCCTTTACAACTCGTAGGAACAATAGTTTTTAGTGAAACAATAACGAAAACTTTCTAATTTGAACAAAATACAGATTGAAGAAAAGCTTATCCCTATAAGTGTTGTCACATTGGAGAAATAGTAGCAAAAGAGTAAACTTTATTTTTTGAAAAAATTGCATTTTATTGATTTTTCTAATGTAGATTCAAGATTTTTAAACGTAAATAGTATATTTGTCTATTCTTTAAAACGTGCTTAATCGATAGAAGATATTTAACTGTATAAAATGACTAGACAAATGAAAAACTTTCGGACGATACCCATCATCATTAAGTTCAATAAGCGAACATCTATTGAATAAAATTAAAGTAAACGTCTGGTTTGAACTCGAATTGAATTATGTTTAAACTCAAACAAAAGATTGTTTCCTAATATGTTCACTTAACTTTTTTCTAGTGAAATAAATCAAATTAAGTATCGATCCTTGATTTGAAATTTAACTAGATAAAGTTAGTAGAAAATTAGAATATCAATCAACTTGATGTCTGTGTGTCTATTATCGGGTCAAAGATTACCCAATAGAATTGAACATGATCAAGATAAGTCTAGGAGCTTCGAGAACGTTCTGGAAGCTTTTAAAACTCTATGACTTTGTTGAATTTTTTGGAACATTCTGAAAATTTCTCGAACCTAGCAGAACCATATGGAGTTTTTTAAGAAGAATTCTCTAGATTGTCACAATTTTTCTGTAATATTCTAGAACATTTCACAACATATTACTATGCACATAAAAGGTGTCTAAGACCGGTTCAAAGATCAAGTATTAAAGAGCAATAGTCAGGATTACAGCAAGAGCAGCTGTGCAATTTGCATGAGAACTGAATAGCTGAATAAATTTTTAGACTTTCAAATATTGTCTATCTTCTACTAATAATTGTTTTTTTTTCTCGTGTTCAGTTTCCTACTTTGAATCTTTTACAATCAGATCAATCAATATTAACTATTGATCAATGGAATCTACTCTCAAATTTATCACATTGTTATGATGAACATAGTGGATTATCAATAGGTGAACATTTCATGCTTGAACAAAATGCTCTACCACTTAAATTACGTTTCAAAAAAGAACCAATAAAGAAATTGATTCAAATAACATTGGATAGAAGTCAATTATTATACAAAAACAATCAAGATTTTCTTTCTTTATCTGCAGATGATCGTTCTATTTTATTTCATACCACGTTTACACATACAGCACATATTTCTGCGGATATGATTAATTATAAAATTCAATTAATGAATTATCCTGCTTATTTCCATATTATTGAAATGCTTACTAATCCAAGTTTAATGCCTGTTGTTAGACGTATAGCAGATCGACTTGATTTTGATATGATCATTATGAAATTATTTCTTGTTATTCTTTCATTTTCAACAACTCGCTATACAGTTTATTCAAATACACCTCCAGTAAATTTATCAAATATCAAAGAAATCTTACGTATTCAAGATACATATATTGAAATTACATGGCGATATTTACTTTATAGATATAATTTTGAACGGTCTGTTATATGTTTATCTGATCTTATTAGATGTTTCTGCGCTATTCATGAAGCTATAGTTAAAGTACATGATATTCCATGGCCTGCAGATACAATCTTGTCGATTGTTCAGCAAACTGAAGAAACTCTTACTCTCAATTAATTAAATGTTTTTCGTTTTCTATTATATTAACTGTATTAATATGATGTTGAGTGTTGATATTGTACGTTTTAATAAACACTAGACATTTAGATGAACAAGATGAATTTATATTTGAAAAAAACTCACAAAATCTCCGGATTAGAGCTGTGTGAGATCAAGTTTTTTTTGCCCACTCATAGCCATGGAGAATCTGATCTAGTCTGAGTCTCGGTAGCCTCTTTTCTAGTGGTTTCAGTCTAGAGAAAAGTATTCCAGAATTAGTTTGTATCACATCTAAAAAAATTCTTCAATACTCGTATTTTGAGTTATTTAGTCAACGATTAGCACTTTTTGTTTCTGCTATGGATCTACATAAAAACAAAATCTTTTTGAGGAAGTTTTGATCTCGAAAAAAAACTGACGATACAGTGTATTAGTAAAATACGCTTTAATTCACTCCAACCCCTATTTAATTCGAAGATATTATCAATCGATAGAGCTTAGAAGTGTCCACCTAGGAGACCTTACTCTAAGCCATTTTCTTTAAAAAGTCTTTGATAAAAAAATCAAATACTATTCTTATGGAACCACTCTAAGCCAAAATTTTGCGAGAAAATGAATAACTCAGAATAGTAAACCACTGTTCAATTTATCTTGACCTATCTACCTTGGTCTCACTTTCGCCATTTTTAGAGGTCAAAGTCAAAGGTCAAGGATCACCCCTAATAGCGAAGCTTAGAGTTAAACTTAAACTTCTAGTATCAGATTATTGAAGTAATGGTGAGGAGAGTAGATAGTCTCTGAATTATTCATTTTCTCGCAACATTTTGGCTTAGAAGAGGCCCATAAGAATAGTATTTTATTCTTTCATCAAAGACTTTTCAAAGAAAATAGCTTAGAGTGAGTTCTCCTGAGTGAACAGTTCTAAGCTCTATCAAAAAGAACGAAATTCAACATTATTTCGCGTTTTACACAAAATCAATCTTTGAAGAGAAAAAATTGAACTTTTCTCCCAGATGCAATAGTGCAGAATCTACCAGTGTACATGAACGACAGTTCGGGAAAATTTAGGATACTTATTAGTATCTAAGAGAAATTTTCTGCAAAAGAATGAATGTTCCATAGTATATGCCACACTTTTATTTTCTATCTTTGAGGAATTTAATACTTGTTCAAACTTCAGTTCTGATCTTGTTAAACAGAGAACTTAATTCTCTACAATTTGCCTAATTTATTTGTCGAAGAGATTTTTCATGCAAGCATTAGCTTTATGAGATTCAAACCTATTGAATTGTTAAATTGTGAATTCCTATTTTTCTGCGGATAAAGAATGATTTGTATGAGCATATGCTCATCAAGGTAGATATTAAAAGATAAGTATTGTATATCAATGGAAAGAGAATGTTTTACTCTACATGCTCATGATCTTAGCTTTGTTCTGTGTGTGTTATTCAGAGGAAAAAAGTTTCAACCTGACATCTGAAAGTATTTTTGAGTGCACTATGAAAAATTATCTTATTACAAGTCAGATTTGTCCTATAAAATGCTGATTCTCGTACCGTCGTATGAGAATAAGTAATTTCTGAACAAAATGGTATATGAATTCAATTGAACAATTGAAATATTTCGGCTACTTTGAATCAATCGAAAACAAGAGCTTAGATTCGTCCAAAACCAACTTTTCTCGGTATTTCGAAATTTTTTCGCGCAAAAAAAATTGTTCTAACACTTTAAGAAGCACACTGAAAGATGCAGATTTTTGTGTAGAATATTGTAGCATATTTCAAATTTTAGTAGATTGGTTCTAAAAATTTTCTATATTTTTTATCGATTTTTTTCTTGATTTTCGTACTTGTGCGATCGATTATACGTTAGTCTCGTTAACTTTGCTTTGATGTGAAAAATCTATTCGAAAAACATAATCGACAATTTTGTAGAAAATTAAATTCTTTATATACTGGCAAAAAATGAAAAACTCAAAGCAATTGTTAAATGCTTCAAAGATTAAAAAAATGAAACTGGGCCATTGATTGTGGGACATCTGTAATTTTCTCCTCTAAGAAAAATATTTTACAATTTTCCAAAAGAATCTTTAATTGAATTTTATTGTGAGGATAATTTTTCGTGAAAATTTCGCCGTTCGAAGAAATCTTTCATTCTAGCAACCGATCCTACACCTCTGTCCAGACGCTTCGACCGATTGAGCTGAAATTTTTTGTATGACAACTAGAACTAAGCCAGGATGTATGCATATATATTTTTTTCTGAAAATAATCTTCTGGTGATTTTGACTCGATCGTACAAAATTTACCATAGGCAAAAAACACGGTTTTTGACAGAACTTTCAGTCTTTTGATTTTGTTTGCGGGAAGAGGGATGATACTTCAGCCCATTGTTCGCCCTTGCGTGCTCTACATTTCATAGAAGGAAGCATCCAGAAATTCTGAGGCTATGACATCGTTTTTTCTACTAGTCAAGATCTATTTATGCTGAAAATTTCAGAATTATTGATCTCGTCGTTCTTGAGAAACTCGAGAAGGGATATACTCTTAAAATCATAGAATATTTAACTTTAACCCTGACATGTCCATCTCGATCCCAACTGATTTCATTTTAATGTTATATGCATACAACGTCAGATCAAATCACATCTCTCTAGATATACTCTAGTGAAGAGTAGTACGATATGCTGCTGACGTCAGCAGTTCATCATCACTAGTTGTTTATGTGATAAAATATTTCGAAGTATATATGAATGCTTGTTGCTCACCTGGGATCCAGCCGCACCTAGTACAGTATGCCAGTAACAACAATCAATCATATCAATGCTGTAAATAAAAGAGCGTTACTTCAGGAACGATAGGGTTTCAGCTACATTGCATTTTGCCGAAATTTCAATTACAATAAGAAAAGGAATTATGCCGAAACACACAAAACGTTTCGATAAGATTCTTTCGTTGTCAATATGGAAGTTTTAGCAGAACACAACGTACGGTGAAATATTTCATTCTCAAAACATTGCTTTATTACATTATAATCATCATTAGGACAAAACATTTTCTTAGATTGGATAAACATTATTGAAATTAACTTCTGTTCTGTTTGTTCTTCTTAGACTCAAGTCTCATCCAAAGCCATTATAGTTCAATTGCAAAATAATGGTAATGTGGTATATTGTTCCTAGTTTATCAGACTGGGATCCGCATGAACTCCAAATGGTCAACTAGTGGCAGTTCGAAACGTGAGCGTGTCAAAATTAAAGAAATTATTCTATTAATTTCATATTTCCAGATATCACTCGAACCTAAAAAATGTATAACTATTTGCTATATATATATATAATCTTGAACAAAAATAGTCACCCTTGATGCAATGTTATTATTCTTTAGGACATTGAACTGATATTTTGAGTGCATACGTACAGCTATAAATCCCGGATTGCAAGCATCAACTCGTTCTCTGTAAGTTCACATTTATCGGAGTTATGATTCAGACATCTTCGTTTTCTTACAATAAATATATTCAGCGAAAATATGCACACAAAAAGTTTTTGTTTTTGTCATTTTCCTATTGTATAAGCTACTACTATTGTTCTAGCGCTAAAGACAGCCTCATAAGTCTACTTTAATATCGTCAAAGTCCGTAAGACATATTCAGGATCTTAGTAATTAGCACGGCTTGAAATAGTGAATTCATGTTATAGCGGTAAGGCGACTTCATTCATTGCAGCGTTTCTAAAACTTTTAGAACATACTTTTCGTCTCATGAAAATTTTCTACTAAGAGTTTCCAATGAATTAATCAAATCCATCATGGAAGAGATCCATCTTTGTAAAAATCAACATTTATTCTTCAAGAGATATTCTTAATGAGAAGACAATATCTCGGTTATTCAAAATGGAATAATCCTATCAGATTCTCTATGCTCCACTATCTTCAGGCAATTTTTATGGTTTTAAACTCTAGGTTTGTTTTTTTTATTTAAAAATAACATAACAATTAATGATTTTTCGTACTTCAAACTCCGACAGATCGACTAATAAAAAAAGGAATATGATTTATAGTCAGTAAATGAAATAATTATAAAATGAGTCAAAATAATGATTGATCAGTAAATCATTTAAATGGTCAGTCACTAATTACTTAGGTTTGTAAATAAATTTAAAAGTCAGTAAATATAATTTATTAACAGTCGTTTATATTAGAGAGTCGGTATAAAAATTGAAATGGTTATAGATTGACACTTTTGTTCTTGTTTTCCTTTCTCTGCAGTTGTTCTACATATATTATCGTTCTTTTGATCTACTTCTTTTAACTTACATATTTTGTGAATATGAAGAGTCATTGTTTTAATTCTTCTTATTATTCATTATCTAAAACAAAGGGAAAAAATTTCTCGACTTCCATCCTGGTCATTGTCTTTATCTATCTCTATGTACAAACATTTAGTGTTTTTCACATAAAAATAACATAATTTGCGTTTACAAAATTTGATGTATTTCTAAGTATGAAAGTGGTATATGTTTCTTAGTATGAAAGTGATATAATAGGTGAAGAGGTAATCGAGGAAGATCATGAAATAAATAGAAATAAAAGAAACCTAAAACAAAAGGAAATTAAACAGTTGGATTAAAAGAAAATGCATTTGATAATGAATGGTTGAAATCTAATGATAATTAATATGAAGGTATACAACTGTATGCATCAAGTACAAATAACGCCTTAGAGACCACCAATAAAGTAATCAAAGATGATGGAACATTTCGAGAACGCTATGTTCCATCAAGAGTTTTACAATTTTTTGACATATCATCGATAATTGAGCAATCGAACGAGATTACTATACATGTTCGACAGTTTATTTTTCAAGTCATCATTATCGCAACTGTTTCGAGATTCCAGCCATAAGACAAACTGCTCGGGATACCTATTATGTATTAACATTACTAATGTGAGGTTTTGTTTTACTGAAGTAATCTTCGTCACTATTACCAAAAGTATAGCAATCACTGTGATTAGTAGAATAAAAACTACAATAATTAAAGTTTAGTACACGTTCAACGAATAATAGATATGTGTCACTTAAAACGACTGTGTCGATATGTTATTTTTTCTTATGTGTCAAACATACACAGTAACAACATATTTCATCTTATCTGTGCGCATCTGGGCATGAGGCACGTTATCATATATTTATATACGCAGATCTTATTTGAAGGCCAACTATTAAAGAAAGAATAAATATACCACCTGTTTTCATATACATTCACAGACATAAAATACTCAACATGCGTCAGTCTTTTGTAATAATAATAGGGATTTTTTTTGCAAGTATCACCTATGGTAGTCGTACGTCAAAACGTTTTACCAAATCCTACCATCCGGGTTATAGTACAGTTGATAATCCAAATGTTCTACCCGAATATGACTGTGCACTACGAGCCTTCACCATTGAAATGGTTTCGTATATTGCACCTACATCCTCGAAAACCAATTGGACAGCACTTAGTCAAAGTGCTTTTCAAATGGATCAATGTAACAGTACCTCAAATATAGTTTATCAACGGACAAAGTCTGCAAAACCGTTTAAAACCGCACCAGAAATAAAACAAAGAGCTTGTCATCATACGATATTTGTACATGATTTAAAAGGTAATGATATGTTTGATGGAACATTCGAACGACCAATGAAAACTATCCAAGCTGCCTTATTTCTTACACGTATTCTACGTGCTCAACATGGTAGTGATCAGACATTGTGCATGACTATACGCGGAGGAACTTACTATTTAGGTACAAATGCTACTACAATAAGTAGTCAAATTGGTGCAATTGCATTAACAACTAATGACAGTAATCTTGTGATTGAAAACTATCAGGATGAACGCGTCATATTGAGTGGTGGGACATTACTAAAATTGCAATGGTCTGTCCATGCCAAAACAGCAGCTGGCGGTACAATTATGAAAGCTCAGGTGCCACCTTCTGTCAATCTTGATCTGTTCAACGAGTTATATATTGATGATAAAAGAGCCATTGTTGCTAAATATCCGAATGGTGATCCTTCCACTCAAGGTTTATACGCAAAAGATCCCGGTTTTTCTTTCGATTCACAAAGCTGGATACCACCAGTTTTTAATCAAAGTGTAGAAATTCATGTACAAGATCCTTCTCGAACTGGTACAGTGTTTCCTTATTTCCAACTTGGTTTAGGTGGTGGTGCTTCTGTTTTCAATCCACCTAGAAATTTTTGGAGTACGGCATCACCACCTGCTGGTAACAACTATGTTGTTCCTCGAGGTTTTACTGTAAAAAATGATGCACTGCCTCATATCGGTAACTGGAGTAAACCAACAACTGGTTTTGTGCATGCTTTTCATTCTGGTTATTGGGGTAGTTGGGTGTTTGAAATAGCATCGATTAATAGCACAGAAAATACAATCATGTTTGGTCGAGGAGGTTTCCAAGAGGCACGTGGTTCGAATAATGGTGGTGCATTTTACGTTGCAAACATTTTCGAAGAACTCGATTCGCCAAATGAATGGTTTTTAGACAAAGATACTCGTACTCTCTATTTTATGCCAAATGAAACAATGCCACAAGATTTTGTTGCTAGTCAAATTCCGTGTTTAATTTCTATTAGCGGTAGTAGCGACGAAAATTCTGTCCATAATGTGCTGATCCAAGGCTTGACACTAACACAGACGAGTAGTACATATATGAGAGATTATATGGTACCAAGTGGTGGTGATTGGGCTGTTCACCGAGGTGGTACTATGTATTTGACAAATACAAGAAATATTACTATTACACGTAATCTATTCACACAGTTGGGTAGTAATGGTATGGCTTTGATCGATTACAATGATGCTACCTCCATTACTTTGAATGAATTCGTATGGTTAGCCGATTCAGGGATCATTCTTGTTGGCAACACGAATGGAATTGATGGCTTTAGTGTAGCAAGCCAGCCTGTCAATACACTCATACAATCAAATCTTATTCATGAAACCGGTATCTATATCAAACAATCATCACCTGTACTTATTTCTGTGAGTCGAAGTGTGTCTGTTATTGGCAATCTCATGTTCAATATGCCACGGGCGGCCATCAATATAAATGATGGTTTCTATGGTAATCATACATTCAGTTGGAATGTGCTTTTCAATACTGTTCGAGAAACTAGTGATCATGGACCTATTAATTCATGGGATCGACAACCATTTTTAACTGATGCTGTACAATCAGGTTTACCTTCACTTTGGCAACATAAAAGTTATATTCATCATAATACTCTATTCAATAATTACCGCTCTGTATGGCCCATTGATCATGACGATGGTAGTTGTTTCTATGAGGATAGCTATAATTTTCAAGTGTATGGTGGAAAAAAAAATTATTTAGGTCATTCAAAAACAGATCATCATGAAATTTATGTGTATTCCGATGCAAATCAAGGCGGTTTCGGAAGTGACTCATGTCTTGGTGATTATGCACCTTCACGAGGTTCTAGTGGTTGGAATGAAACTTGGATCAACAACACCTGTATACTCTACAACAGTTCGATACCGTACAATATTGACCGTTGTGATACAGCCGATCTATTCGTACCTTATTTGGCATCTAACAAAATTTATATTCCATCTGAGACACAAGTCGCATTTATATGCAACGTCAATGGTAGCAGCGCGCGACTCAGCCTGGATCAATGGAACTCGTATGGTTTGGATCTTGGCACTAGTGTTCAAACTACGCCCGACATTGAAACAATCATTGAATGGGGTCGTGAAATGTTACAACACACAGAATAACCAGAAACAAATAATAATTTTGATGATTTCATCTTGTCTTTGTGTAGTATAGTTCGATTATCTTTTCTATAAAATTCGAAGTGTTTAAGTAGCTTCCGAAAAAAAACAATAATAAATCTGCTCATATATCTACGATGGAATGCTGATTCATTGTTCAGATATTGAAAAGTCCTTGCATATCTTGTTTATTTTAGATGGAGTCATTTTAACAAAGATCAATAACAGAGAAGATATTATCTTTAGGATATGGATGTAGTGTAGATGTGGCTGATAATCAGAATAAAGAGAAGATACACATCTACTCTCACCCACACCCTCCATCATTCCCTATTCGAAAAATAAGCTGTTTTTGGAAAAAACTAAAAATCTTTTTTGTTTTTTCTCATTTTCTAGGTTTTTCGATCGCGCATCCCAGAATTTTCGAAGCAGCTTCATTGGAGTCAATACCTTTTTTTTGTGTTGTTTGAAAGAACATGTCAAGACGCAATGCAGTATAGAGTCCATATTTTTTAATTAAGTTCATTTTTCTTATATATACAAACACTTATATAACTAGAGCGCCATTTCTCGAGAGTTTGTTTTTAAGTCATTGAATTTGCCATGCCTTTCTTCCGCTTAAAAAATAAGAACTTTGAAAAAAAGGCCTCTATACTGCACTCCATTCTGACATGTTCTTTCAAACAAAAACTATTGAATATATAGAATGACCTTAAACAGATAAATTTGATTTATCAAACGGGCTATTTTTGACCCTTGTCTGTTGAATATCACCCGAAAACGTCATGACATAAGGCTGAAAATTTTACTACAGTCTCTTCACATCATCCCCAACATATCCTAAAAATTTCACCCAAGTTAAATGTGCCTGGCCCAAGATCAATTTTTGAGAGGAACTAGCCTTAATTTAAAAAAGAAACTTATATAATTTGTCAATACTATGATATATGAGTCTTCATAATACAAAATTGCCATCAATTTGTAACACAAGTTATTATCCGTCTTTATTTTTATCTAACTGTAACAAATGAAATCGAACGAATTATCATTCATACATTTCAATCTTATTCAATACCTGAACAGTTCAAAATCAAAATTCTTTACATCATCATTCATTAAATTATTATAAATGATGCGTCAGGCAACAATCGAATGAAAACTAGGCTCATAATTAAAACATATTTTTATTAATTTCCATTTCATTATATCATTTTTCTTTCTCACATTAATTGAACCTATTTGCATACATTATGCTGCATAAGTATTTTTTTTTGATAATATTCTATAAACAAATAAAAATACACATGAAATTGGGGGTAGTTATCTGAGTACTCTTGCTGACAAGTCGCACTCACTGAATGAGCATTTTTACTAGGACATGCTCTTAAACAAATTTATTTAGAAATTACTAAAGAGTTTTAATTCATTCTATCACAAGAAAAAAGAAGAACATGGATATCTAATATTTTTGTTGTGATTCTTTTAAATATACAAAAAGTATTTTGCTAAAATTCATTGATTTCTACTTGAAACATGATTTGTTTTATTAGAACATGTGCTTATTGACCATGAATCGATACTATTTTCAGTCCATTCTATGTAGAAAAATATCAAGAAACTAAAACAAAATGTATTTTGTAAAACTCGTCGAATTTATGCTTAAGCTATTAAAAATCGGTTCTATGACACTTGTTTTTGTATAAAACTACCTTATCGGATCAAATAGGTGTATGACAAAATTGATGTACGCAAAATGAGTCATGTTCTATTCATACAATCGCGTACTAACATAACGAAAGCTAGAAGTACGTAATGGATCATTGCTTTTTCATCTCCTATTTAAATCAATCCTTTGTACATCTCTTTAATAAAACACATACATTGTCAACTTATATTTATTTAACATTATCCTACATACTATCTGCATACGGGTAAATAAGTTTGTGTTTTTTTTAGTTATTTAGAATAAATACTATGTATTTGTTGATCATCATTAAAGTTTTTTCTTAGTAGACACCCATAGCCAACTATATTATCTTTATTAAAGTTAAGAATTATTCTTTTTATAAAGAAGGTCACCATCATTAAGCTTACTCTTATTGAAAACGAAATCATTACTTTGAATTTCTGTTCTCAATAAGTTACAGTTCAAAATGAGTAGACATTCAGAAAAAGAAGCTTTTGATTTCAAATAGAAGTTCAGAACAATTTCAGTCTTATTCAGAAATAAATGATAGAATAGTGATAAGTAGAAAACAAATTAAATGAAGAATTGATCTGAAAAGAATGAAAAAAATTCCAAAACATTCTTCGATCTCGCAATACATTGATTGTTATAACATTCCTATAGCAAATTTATTTTGAATTTACTGTTTCAAATCGAAGTATTAGGCAGAAAACATATACGAAAATAGATCAATATAATGAGGATTTAATATCACAATATAACATGATTTGAATCTATAAATATTGATTCTGAATGAGATAATGAAGAAGAAGATTTTATAACAATTCAAAAAAAAACACCATTCAATTCTGTAAAAACTCATATGATCTTTCAAGGTATTAGAGATATTGATATGCTAGACATATAGCTCTTTAGATATACAATGAGCATACAAGTTTTGGATTTATAGAAGCATTCAATATCGACCAAGAAATATTCTTTTCGGCTGAAACTTTCAGGGTGTTCTACTAGTCGTTCAAATTGTTTATAGGCGAAATCTCATATTGAAATCTCATTATTTGATTTTTTGATAAATACCTAAAGCTAGATAAAAAATTCAATAAAACAGTCAAAACTCGACTCCAAAAGTCCATGACCATAAATCTTTTTTAGAATTTTGCTAATCTCACTGAGACTTTTTTGTGTGAACCCAATATAAGCTCAGACGGTGAGTATCAGTTTGAGTAGCTTACTTGTAAAAATAGAGATGTAGAAGCATTACATGAAGGAAAAAGACAGACTACAATGTGTACATCGACATGAGTATGAATCACTACTCTGGGAGGAAGCGTTTTACTCCTCTTATTAGGAAACTATCACAGATGCTCTCTCCTGATTTCAATGATATTTTTACCTATAAATACTACATATCATTTAAGTGAAAACTCTTCATTAATATGAATTCCTATTGAGGCTTGACAGAACTATTGAATTTTTAATATGTCTACTTGTTAGACGCTCTGCAGGTTGTCAGATTTTCAAGAAAATCATGTTTTTGAATTTTATGTTGATACTATCTCCATTTGAAGACAAAATTCAAAAACACGATTTTTCCAAAAACTTAAGGTTCTATTGGAGTCTCTAGTAAATAGAGAAATCTATCCATCCTCTATAAGACTTCTTTATTGATATCTTTTAATCATTATATATTTAATGAAAAATTATTTGACTGTTATTTATTCTTCTATTTTATTGTATCTTTTTTCTGTTATTAGATATGCACTACTTAAGTTATTTATCGATCTTAATTGTTTCCAGTATTATAATGCTGAAAACATGCAATGGTGCAAAAGTAATCGTTCTTGATAAATTTCCTAGCGATCCAGAACAAGAAAATCGAGTGTTATTAAAGCCACTCAATAAACGGCTCGTAAGACGTCAAATTAGTAAGTAAAGTTATCATTAATTATTTCGTTTTAAGTAATTCGATAAAAAAATCACTGATGCAAAAAAGAAACAAATAAACAAATTAGTCTATATTAATTAGGAGAATAGAAGATTTCATTTGACAATTCTTTTTCACAATAATTGTTGAATGATATCAAAACAATATTTATACAAGACTAACCAAATTGATTTCTATTCATTTTCCTTGTTAAATGTGTTTTGAGTTAATTGACCTAATAAAGATTTGTAAAGCTTCGAACACCTCAATATTACAAAAAAATTAGTAGTCTACTGAAAACACATCAACGATTTGATGTGTAACTTCTATTTTGCCTAGTAAAAAATCTTAAGTGAATGAAACTGATTGATAAGATCTAAAACTCTCCGAAAAATGCTGATATCTCTAAATGGAATATTTCGAAACAAGTAATGTTATTCTTGCCGAAAAGGTAACTATAAGTTGTCGATGATTTTTGACTACAGAAAGAAACACAAGTAGGTTTCTAGAGAAAGATGTTCTCTACTTAATAGTGTGTGCATGAGAAAATCATACTGCATAGTGTTCATATGTTGATAGAGGTGACGTCACCTATGGACATGTCAATAGCACACGGGAGAACTTAATACTGTGTATATTATAGGATGTAGAAAGACTTTCTCTACCAATCTACTTATATTCTGTTCTCTAGTCAAAACTTTATATTCATCGTTCACTGGTCTAATATCAGAAATCCATGACATTATATTAGATAAATTACATATTATCTGATATACTTAATATTAATTAAATGATTTACTTTTTTTTTCAAAGTTTGTCCAAAGCCATATCATGTTTGGATTTCGGCTAATCAATGTGTTTGGAGTTGTGGTGAAGGTACTCAACCTGATACTACAACTAATGAACGTGTCTGTGAAAATGGATATTATGAGATAGGTACTGATGAATTCGGAAGAAGAATCTGTGCTAGTAAGTATTAGAATATAATAATGCATTATATAAATAATGAATTCTATGTTAGAGAGATAACTAATAGATTTTTGCAATAGATAAATAATTAATAGATAGATTGAAGTTTCATTTTATGTTTTTACTAAATCTTTGATTGTAATATTAACATCAATGTATTAGTTTATCTTGCAGACTTGTTCTTGAAATGAATTTTGTAGTTCGATATAATAGGTAGACCGAAAATTTTCAGAAAAAATATTTGTTTATTTTTGGCTTCCTTGAAAGTGTTTTTAAGAAGTCAAAAGCTATGATTTATAACCAACACATTGTGCACTTTCTAAATATGGACTTAGAAATTTCATATGAGTTTTTTTATTGAGAGTAGTGAAGTAATCTTTCAAAGATCCAAAGATTGAGTTTGGATAGAAAGTATAAGTCGAA